CGGCAAGCTCGGGTAAGACACATCGGCAGAGGGATGACATCGGCTCAGTCAAGGATCCGGCAACAGGGATGGAAAAACATCGGTTAGGGAGGACGACACTTGACTAAGCTGTGCCACACCTTGGCCGGGGTGCGCCACATCTCGGCCTAGGCCATACCTGCCTGCGGACAAGGTTCAAGTGCGAAACATCTCGGCAAAGAATGCCCGAGGTGAAGATGGGGTTGAACAAGACCTCAAGATAGTTCTAAGTACAAAGGGTCAAAGGCGGACTAAGCTCAAGATGATCTCGGCTACGCACACGCACTAAGCAAGGAACAAAATCATGCAAGCAACTTAAGCAAATCGAGCCAAGATAGAACCTTCAAATTAACATAACAAGCAAGATCATGCAAGAATGTATGCAAGTATGGCAAGAGTAAGGTGAGGGTTGTTACATATGATTTGCCAACATTGTGGTATCAGAGCTTATCTCCAAATCCATGTTGATCAGTATATAGATTCAATATAAACTTTTTTTTTCCGTCAATACCATTCTTGCAATTGTGTAATTGTCTTCATCATGACTAGGATGCAAGAATAGCTTCGTCTTTAAACTGTCTTCATCTGTGTATGTGTGTAAATGAGAATGCATGTGCACGTATGTCAAAGGGTAATTAAAATAAATAAATAAATAAATTCTGTAAATAGTTGTGGAACAATATTTGGGTTTGTTTACAGAAATTAAATATCTTGGGACCATTATATTTGAGTTTGTTTTCTGTTCTGTTAAAGGTTATATGGTGCCGAATTTATAAACTAGAAATTTAGTTTCGATTTCAAAATTAGTACCTTTTGGATATACATTTAATTTTGTTAGTTCGAGTTTCAATTTATTGAAAAATAATGCTATTATTGGCAATGGTTTTTTAACTGATGGTTTATATAAATTTAATTTGGATCTTTCATATGAAAATAGTCTTATAACCTTACATAGTGGAATTGGCATAAAGAGAAGAGTTACCAATGAGAACTCCTCTAGGTTATGGCATAGAAGATTGGGACATATCTCAATGGAAAGGATAAAAAGATTAGTAAATGATGGAGTTTTAAATACTCTTGATTTTACTGATTTTGGTACCTGTGTGGATTGCATTAAGGGAAAGCAATCCAACAAGTCCACTAAAGGTGCCAAAAGAAGTTCTAATATTCTTGAGATCATACACACAGACCTCTGTGGACCATTTACTCCACCTTGTTTCAATGGTCAGAGATATTTTGTCTCATTTATTGATGATCATACACGATATATGTATCTCTATCTTTTATTTGATAAGGCTGAGGCACTTGATGCTTTTAAAGTCTATAAAGCAGAGGTAGAGAAACAAAGAGAAAAGAGCATTAAAATCGTGAGATTAGATAGAGATGGAGAATATTATGGAAGGTACATAGAATCCGGATAAATACCTGGTCCATTTGCTAGGTTTCTTAAAGAAGAAGGGATAATTTCCCAATATTCAATGCCTGGTACACCACAACAAAATAGTGTAGCTAAAAGGAAGAACCGTACACTTATGGAGATGGTAAGGAGCATGCTTAGTTATTCCAATGTTCCCATAAATTTGTAAAGTGAAGCTTTGAAAACCACTGTGTATGTCTTAAATCAGGTTTTATCTAAAGTTGTTCCTAAAACACCTTTTGAATTATGAAAAGGAAGGAAACCAAGTTTGAGACATTTGCACATATGGGGTTGTCCAGTTGAGGTAAGGGTTTATAACCCACACTTAAAGAAATTGGACCCAAGAACAGTTAGTTGTTTTTTCATTGGCTACGCTGAAAACTCCAAAGGTTTTAAATTTTATTGCCCTTCACACACACTTAAAATTGTTGAGGCTAGAAATGCAAAATTTCTTGAGGATCATGAGTAAAGTGGGAGTGGTTTTTCTCGTGTCATAGAATTCGAGAAAATAAGGTACCCTATTGAGAAACCAATTGGGGAATTGGTTGTTGTTCCAAGTGTTATTCCAAATATCATTGAAGAACAGCCAATACCAGAACAACTGCTCCATGAGGAACAAATCAATACAGAACCTCTTGTTCAAAATTTAAATGAACCAATAGGAGTAAGGAGATCCACAAGAGAAAAGAAATTAGCTATTTCTAGTGATTACCTTGTATATCTACAAGAATCTGACTTTGATGTTGGACCTAAAGCCGATCCTAGTTCATTTTCACAAGCCATGAATGGAATTAATTCCAATTTATGGTATGATGCCATGAAACAAGAGATGAAATCAATGGCCACAAACAAAGTTTGGCATCTTGTTGAGTTACCAAAAGAAGCTAAGGCCATTGGCTGTAAATGGGTCTATAAGAACAAAAGGAATTCTTCCGGTAACATTGAACGATATAAAGCCAGACTTGTAGCCAAAGGTTTTACCCAAAAGGAAGGAATTGATTACCATGAGACTTTCTCTCCGGTTTCTAA